TATATCCTCCATCCAAAGGGTTTCAAATACAATATTGGTGGACGCCGGCAAAATGGGGGGGTTGTGGTCGATTCGTTTTCTGGAGGGGTGGGGTTGAACACAAAATTTCCCCCCCCCCCCCCCCCCCCCCAAAGGAGTAATTAACTGACGTCGTGATGGAGCTGGTCTCCATAGAAGACCCACCTCAGCTACGCATTCGCCTCGCAATTGCGATCGGTAGTTGTGCAAGAGTTGTGAACTGCCGAGGCTGTTCACGGGTGCTATATGACGAGAATGCCCTGGATCATTTCACCAGATATCTTCAGCCATGGGAATCAGACGCGACACATTTGCGAAGTCGGCAACTTCGTCGCGCTCCACCGAGACCTTGACTCAGGAATTTGGTCAGCTTCATGTATTAGATGACTTGATTCGCCTTCGTGCCAAAGATGACATTCAAACTCCAATTCTGGCCTACCCGAGCTGCAATGGCGAGGCAGCGTCCTATACGTATTATAACGGCCAGCAGATGGACAGGATGATCGATGAAACCGCCAAAAGACTGATGGAAGATGGGTTCAGATCGGTTCGTCCTTGATACTCAATGGCACAGATTTCAGTATAGATCGCTAACATCTCGCCCAGCCGAAACCAGACAGAGCCACAGTAGGGCTGCTCACCTTGTCAGATCTGAACATGGTCATTACGATCTTCGCACTGAGTCGACTGGGATACACCGTCATGATCCTGTCCCCTCGTCTATCGGGAGATGCATGTGTAGCCTTACTCAACACCGTCGGTTGCGATAATATCCTGTACGGCAACATTGGCAGCATCCGCACCACGATGGGTGAAGTCCTGCAACGCAAACTGATCGCCTGTCGCCCAATGCCTGCTCTCAACACGAGCCCGAAGAAGTTGTCGCCGGCTCTGCACAGGAACCGAAATCCCAAGGCCCAACGCGATAAGATTGCTTTGATCCTGCACTCATCTGGCTCGACTGGCAACCCCAAACCCCTGTATCTCACCCACCGAGCACTCATGACGCATCCATTGAAGGGACCAGGAATGACTTCCTTTAATCCACTCCCCTGGTACCACCTTCACGGCATCTCAACCGCATTACAGGCAATGTGGATGAGGAAAACGGCCTTCATGTGGAATGCATCCTTGCCTCTGACGGCGGACTCGATCGTGACAGCTCTTCAAGAGGCCAAACCAGAATACGTGGCTGCAGTTCCGTATATGTTGCAGATGTTAGTGGATAGTCCCCGTGGCATTGAGGCGCTTCGAGGCTGTCGGCTCGTTGGATACGGTGGAGCACCATGCCCCGACGAGCTTGGGGACCGTCTCGTGCGCGAAGGGGTTTCTTTTGGAGGTTCATTTGGCCTGTAAGATTCCCTGACATGATTCAGCGAATTCAAGCTAACTGCCCACAGCACAGAGGCTGGACTCGTCGCCGAGTCCATCTCTCGACCGAAAGGCGACCCGTACTGGAATTATTTGAAATTCTTTGAGACCATCCAGCCTTACGTCTGGATGAAACCTCTCGGGAGTAACCTGTTTGAATGTGTCTATCTTGCTGGACATCCAGCATTGACGACGTCGAACTCCGATGACCCGGCTGGCTCATTTCATTCGAAGGACGTGTTCACTCCTCACTCCAGCATTCCCCAGCGATGGAAGCATGTCTCGCGAATCGATGACCGTATCACACTCACCAATGGAGAGAAAGTCCTGCCCCTTCCGATTGAAGGCTGCATCAAACAAAACCATCTCATCCAGGAAGCAGTCGTGGTGGGATTGAATAAATCATCTCCCGGATTGCTGGTCTTCCGCTCGCAAGAAGCGGACGAAGCTGATCTCTCGGAAGAAGAGTATTTTGCTGCGATTTGGCCGACCATCGAACTGGCCAATTCTCGCGCAGAGCATTTCTCCCGCATTGCCAAAGACATGATTGCTGTGTTGCCGTCCGATTCGAAGTTCCCCCGGACCGACAAGGGGTCGATGATCCGGGAACAGGTCAATTCGCAATACGCAGAGGTGATCGAAAGGATCTACTCCGGCGAGGAGAAGCAGGGCGGTCTTCGGGTGGGTGTTGATGAAACGCGATCGGTGATCATGGACTTGTGTCAGAGCGAGCTGGGTGTCCCCCTGTCTGGTGCAGAAACCAGCTTCTTCTCGGAGGGAGTGGACAGTCTCAAGGCAATTCACCTCCGCCGACTGATCCTGCAGAGCTTCGAACTGCCAAAGGAACGACTCCCACAAAATGTGGTGTACGATACTGGAAGCGTTGCTCGCCTTGCAGAGCACATTTGCGCAGCGCAGAGCGGCAAAGAGACTCCCAGCAAAGACGATAATGAGGCTATGCTCGAGCTCGTCCAGAAATATTCCACTTTCTCACAACACACACCTTGCGGATCTTCACCGAGCTCCAGCAGTGCTGTAAGTGCCAATTCCCTTGAAAGCATTCACTTGCTAACCACACGAAGATCCTCACTGGAGCAACTGGCTCAATCGGTGCGCACACGTTATACGAGCTTCTGAACGATGAATCTATATCCACCGTCTTCTGTCTCACTCGACGCAAAGACCCATTAGACGCCATCCTCCGCAGTCTCAGTGAAAAGGACCTCCACATAACTCCGGAACAAGCATCAAATATCGTCGCTCTGAACAGTGCCCTCGAAAAGCCAGACTTCGGCCTGGACGAAAAAGTACTGACTTGCATGCGTCAATCCGTCACACAAATATACCACGTCGCCTGGCCTGTGAACTTCAATCTCCCACTTGGCCAGTTCGAGCCTCACCTCCGTGGACTCTACAACCTCCTCCAATTCTCGCTTTTGGTCCAGCAGCCCCAGCCCGCAGTCGTCATGTTCTGCTCTTCCGTTTCGACTGCGCTCAATGCGAAATATAATGAGATTCCGGAAGAACCGCTTGATCTCGACACTGCATACATGGGCTACGGTCAGTCCAAGCTGGCAGGCGAGCATATTGTCAGTGCGGCACACCAGTCCGGCGCGAGAGCGTATTCTCTTCGCATCGGACAGGTTTCTGGTCACTCGAAGAACGGAGTGTGGAATGACACCGAGGCATTGCCGCTGATGATACGGTCTGCGGGGATTCTGAAGGCATTGCCTGATCTGAGTGAGAGTTGTTCGTGGCTGCCGGTCGATGATCTTGCTTCTGCGATGCTGGAGTTGGCGAGATCACGCTCGCAACTGAGCCATGACATTGCGGGACAGGCAATTGAGGAATCCATTTACAATGTGTGCAACTCTCATGAATTCACTTGGTCTGCCTTGTTGGAATCGGTAGGCAAAACACTTGAATTTGAGGTCCTGCCGTTTGAAGAATGGGTGCAGTTGCTCCGAAAGAGTGAGGCTCGGGGCGAGGAACTTGGCAATCCAGCTGTGAAACTGATTGATCATTACGAGGCTATGCATGGCTCTGAATCGGATTCGGTGGGCGTGCAGAGTTCGAAGAAATTTTTGACCGAGAGGTCAGCACGGGATAGTCCTACTCTGCGGAATGGCCGGCCGGGGATTATTGAAGATGGTGTTTTGGATCGCTATATGTGCTACTGGATGTCCCGTTGGGAGAGATCGTGATGGCTACGTTCTATTCGCCAGACATTCCCACGAGCTGGATGTTTAATTGCATACAATGACTTAATGAAACAATATCTTGACGACTGAGCAATCTACTCCATCTCAGGTATTGAAGGAACTGCGTAGATAGTATGCTGCACCCCAGTTGATATCGATCCAGGGTGATACTAGGTACATCGTATAGCTCATATTCAGGGCATAGCGTTTTGTCTTTGATTCAAGTCTCATATATCATGGGATTGCACAACCCTTGAAGCTAATCCTTGAAGAGTTCTCTTAAGAGCTGAGCACACATAGCTTTATCTGCTGCCTGAATGCTGCTTAAGTTGTTGAAGGTGAACCCGAGTCTACACTAAAGCCCACCTATTACAGAATGTAATCCATCTACGAAGCTACGAATCCTACAGGGAAGATCGAAAGATATACAGAATTCAACAGCGGATTGGATTCACCACGGGCCTAACAAAACACTTGACTCGTACAGGATTGGTTTTTTTTTTTTTTTTTTTTTTTTTTTGAGGGTTTTTTGTTTTTTTTTTTTTTTTTGTTTTTTTGTTTTCAATTTTTTTTTTGTTTTTTTGTTTTTTAATTTTTTTGTTTTTTAATTTTTTTTTTTTTTTGGCAACGGAGATCAACTACTGAGCCGAAGGCTCAGTAGCCCCCCCGGGCACATCTCCCCCGGCTGGGGTGTCTGGGACACCCGCAACCGCACCGGCGTCCACACTGCCTTCGGTCCGGAAGGCAGGGTGGATGGTGCCACTAGGGTACCCGTACAAGGGGTGAGGATCACCCATTGTACCACCGGGCCGTGCCTCCGTGATGGAGGGCACGGGAGGAAGAAAAGGGGGAACCCCAGGTGTTCGCACACCAGGGGCCATCTCAGCCTCGGTCGCCATTGGATGCAGGCCCAAGGCATGGTCAGGGTCGGCAATCCCGAGACCAACCCGCGCCCGAATAAGAATATTTCGATGTTTCTTAAATTCGGTCCGGAAATCCTCAAGAATACCGTCGACCTCAACGTTTCGGCGACGTTGCTCGTCGAGGGCACCCTTGACACCCTGAATTTCACGGGTGACCATGCTCTTCAGGCCGTTGACCTCCCTGTTGACGGAAGCCTTGAAATCCCGCATTTCTCCCCTAAATCCGGTCACGGTCGTCGTGAGGGCTCTCACCTCGCCCCGCAAGTCGCGAATGTTGGTGGGAGGGTGAGACTCCCGGGCCGAAGCCTGGACCTCTTGGGCCTTGTTGAGGACATCGGCAACCAAGTCGCGGGTCAACTCTCGGAATCGCGTCTCCATCTCCTGAACCTGGTCCTGCGACCACTTGGCGAGCAGATCGTTTTGGGCATTGATCTTTTGCTCGATGCGGACGAGAGAGATGGTGTGGTTCTTGAGGAGCTTGGAATGTTCCTCCACCTTCTTTTGTAGGGCCTTGATCTCCTCTGCATGATTGCAGCAAGGAGACGTGGTAAGCGAGCTTGTACCGACACTGGCGGTCCGGGCGTCCACAGCTCCTTGAGTTGTAGCGGTGGCGATGGGTGCGGCCTGAGCAGCGAGCTCAATTGCTCCACGTTGAGTTGAAGGAGATGTCACTGCGTCTTGGGCAGGAATAGGAGTAGCCGTGTCTTGAGCAGCAGGATTCATGGCTGCCCGTTGAGTAGTAGGCTCGATGGCCTCGCGATGAGCAGAAGGAGATGTCACTGCGTCTTGAGCAGCAGGATTCATGGCTGCGTGTTGAGTTGAGGGAGGCGAGATAGGTGTGGTTTGACCGGCAGGCTTCATGGACCCGCGTCGACGTTTAGGAGAGGGGACTCTGCGCTTGGCTAGAGAGGAGGTAGTGGCTGCGGTTGGAGCAGCAGATTTGACGCCTCCGCGTTGAGCTGGAGGTGTAACGGGTGTCGTTTGGCCAGCAGGTTTAATGGACCCGCGACGACTTGTAGAAGGGACTCTGCGCTTGGCTGCAGAGGAGGTAGTGGCTGCGGTTGGAGCAGCAGGTTTGATGCCTCCGCGTTGAGCTGGAGGTGTAACGGGCGTCGTTTGACCAGCAGGCTTAATGGACCTGCGTCGAGTTGTAGGAGGGGTCACCGCGTCTTGAGCAGTAACAGGAGAGGTTGCGTCTTTAGTAAGATAGGCTTGAGGCTGTTGAATATCACCGATGGTAAGTGGAGGGTGGCGGGAAGAAGGAGAAAGAGGATGGGAGAAAGAGTGTAAAGAGCGAGCAAAGTTGGAATGAGGCACAGAAACGGAAGGAGCGGGTTCATCCTGAGCGAAGCCCCGACGACTTCTCAAGTTCTCCTTATGCTCTTCTGCTGCAAGTTCACTCGCACTCCGGACATTTGGAACAGACTGCTGAGGCACAATGGTCCTATCTGACCCCGATTGGCGAGGTCGACGTGCTTCGGAACGCACAGGCAAGGGAGGGAGCTCTGAAGGATCTATTTGAAGGGCACATGTTAGTATTCATCACAAGAGTCATCTCTAACATCCAACATGGTGCATTGGGCAAAGCCAGGATCAAATGCCGTCCCCGAGAACTGATCGTGCCATCAATTGATCTTCCTCAGGCCGTACAAGCTGTCAAACAGCAGGGTCTTGCAGTGTGAAAGCACCAGCAGACTCAATCATCAAGTAGGCATAAGGGACCAAGATGAGACAGAACAGGATCAGGCAAAAAGTGATCGAAGTGATCCTCTTTAGACGACTATGATCAGGCTAGGCATGATCAGACCAGGCATGATCAGACTTGACATGGCCAATATGACAGTGATCAGACCAACCATGAGCCAGACCAACCATGAGCCAGACCAACCATGAGCCAGACCAACCATGAGCCAGACCAACCATGAGCCAGACCAACCATGAG